TGTAGCATGTACACTGATTTAAAAATTTAGGAAGGAGAGGAATCAGTTTCTAGAGACCCCCAAACCAATCTTATATGAAGGCCTATCTGTGTAGGAAATTGTTAAAGAGCATTTTTTAAATTAAACTTTTAAAATATTTTGAAAAAAAGCCTAAAAGGTAAAGCTTATAGAAAAGTTGCAAGAATATTAAGATGAATTCCGTCATGCCCCGCCTAGAGTCATACATTGATAACATTTTGCCATATTAACTTTACCTTTTTTATATGTAGTATGATATATACATTTTTCTTCTCTTGTTGGCTGAGAGTAAGCTGCAGAGATCATGACCCTTCATTCCTACATGCTTCAGCATGTATGTCCTAAAAACATGAACGGTCTTTTATATAACACATTATAATTATCAAAATCAGGAAATTTAACATTGATACATATTATTATCTTATATACAGTCCATATTCAAATGTTACTGATATCCTAATAACTATCCTTTAAAATAATTTCTCTCCCGATCTAGAATCATGTATTACATTTAGTTGTCATCTCTTTTCCTTTAACCTGGAACAGTCTCTCAGCCTTACATTGTTTTTCATCGTTGATAAATTTTTTTTAGAGACAGAGTCTCACTCTGTCACCCAGGCTAGAATGCAGTGGTACGGTCATAGCTCACTGCAGCCCCGAACTCCTGGACTCCAGTGATCCTTCTGCCGCAGGACTAGACATGTGTGCCACCACTCCAGCTAATTTAAAAACAAAATTTTTAAAGGGAGGGGATCTTGCTGTGTTGCCCAGGCAGGTCTTAAACTTTTGGCCTCAAGCAGTCTTCTTACCTCAGTGCTGGGATTACAGGCATGAGCCACTGTGCCTGGCCATGTTTGATGTTTTTTAAAGAATACAGTCTTATTGTAGAATGTCCTTTAATTGGGGTTTGTCTGCTTGTTTCCTTATAAATCAGTTCAGGTTACACATTTTTGGCAGATAATGTTGTATACTCAGTGCCTCACATTAGGAGGCATTATTGGTGATTTTGCTGAGAGATTTTTCTACTATCAAGGTAACTCTTTTCCTTTTGTAATTAATGAGTAATCTATGGGGAGATACTTTGAAATTGTGTATGTATCCTGTTCCTCAGCAAACATTCACCCGATGGTTTTAGAATCATGAAGAGCTTTTTTATATCGTAAACATTTTTTTAAAAAAGAGATGGGGTCTCACTCTGTCACCAGGCTGGAGTACAGTGGTGTGATCATAGCTAATTGCAGCCTTGAGCCCTTCCTGGGCTCAAGTGATCCTCCTGCCTCAGGCTTCTAAGTAAGCTGGAACTACAGGAACGTGCCACCACGCCCAACTAATTTTTTTATTTTTAGTAGAGACAGGGTCTTGGTCTTGCTCAGGCTGGTCTCGAACTCCTGACCTCAAGCGATCCTCCTGCCTCAGCCTCCCAGAGTGCTAGGATTACAGGTGTGAGCCATCAAGTCTGGCCAGATTCTGACATTTTTTCTTGTCATCCTCATACTTAGCCATGACTTACCAGGCATCGCCTTCAGTGCCTAAGAATTAGGCCAGGTTTCTTACAGATCTTGTCACATTGCCACTTGGAATTTAGCTGGAGGAAAGAAAGTAAGAAACAATTGCAGTTGTTTAGATGAACATCTCATTCAGGAGGGCTTATTAGAGGCAGTGAGGCAGAGTAGAATGTCCTCATTCTGTCTGACATTTGTTTTCTACCTCTATTTTGAGTATTTTTCTCTGTATCATATCTTAGGCAGAGATGACAGTTGATCATAGAAGTCTCCCTATCCTCAATTCTAGCTGATGCCTGAAATTTCATCAGTATCAAGAAAGTAATTTATTTGTGAAAATTGTATTACCCCACCGTAAAATGCAAATATCCCTACAAGGGATTGGAGAGGTAGTACAAGCCAACATTTAAACATGGAACATCAAAACTTTGGGGAGCTGAGGCAGGCGGATTGCTTGAAGCCAAGAGTTTGAGACCAACCTGGGAAATATAGTGAGACCCTGTCTCTGCAAAAATAAAAAAATTTAGCTGGGCATGGTGGCACATGCCTGTAGTCCCAGCTGAAGGACTACCCTCAGGAGGCTGAGGCAAGAGGATTGCTTGAGCCCAAGAATTCGAGACTACAGTGAGCTATAATGATGCCACTGCACTCTAGCCTGGGTAACAGAGCGAGACCCTGTCTCTAAAAAAATAAATAAAATAAACATGAAACATCGAATATTCAGAACTTTTCTGTGATAGCTAGTTGCTAGAAGCTCTCTGCTAAATGAGACAGTAATAAATAAGTTTTCCTTTGGAGGAAGGAGAAGCCTGGATGGGACTTTATCTTTATTTTTTATTAAAATTTTTTTTATTTTAATAGATTTAGGGAGTAAAAGTTGAATTGCATTACATGTATATATTGTATAGTGGTGGAGTCTGAGCTTTTGTTGTACCCATCACCCGAGTAGTGTACATTGCACCACATAGGTAATTTTTCATCCCTCACCCCCTCTTGGATGGGTTTTTAATAACTGAATACTCTGAACAAGGTTGAAGTGCTAAGACCCTAAAAGAGGAAGGGGAAATGAGTACTGAAGAAGGAAGGGGAAGGACACTTAAAAGATATACTATGCTACTCTACAATTTTCATAGGGCTAACCCTGATGCTGAAATCTACAGAGCATTTAGAGTTAAGAAATCCATGCTTTGTTAACCCAGGACTAGGTGATAGCCATCCCTTTTGAAAGGCTCTTTTCTTTATCTGCACCAAAGTCTTACCTTTCACATTGCCTTGTACCTGTCGTACCTCCAGAAATGATATAAGGGGTAGTGGTGAAGTCTGTATAGCCATCTTTCTTAGCAAAGTTATTCTAATCCTTTGCATGCAATCAGAATATGAAATTAGCAGTTAGTATGTAGGCTGCATCGTCAGGGGGAGTAACTTCCGAGTTCAGGTGATTGATTGTGGCCATTGTTCCAGAGAGAGGCCTTTCAATGTTTCTACTACACCTGTGTTTTGTGAAGCTTTGTTATTTTTGCCAGGTGCCATTGGCTCATCTTGGTGAAATGTGTGCTATGGAATTGATGTTTTGTTGAGTATATCAGCGTCAACATCTCTGAAATACTGGTGACAGACTATTTTCTTCGTCAATGAGAAAAAAATTCTTTTTCACTTCCTATGACCAGTTAAAAGAAGATGGATGCACACAGTTCAGCCAAAATCAATGCAAGGAAGAGGAGGAAAGAGGCAGCTGGACCCAATGGGGCAACAGAGGAAGACGGAATTCCTTCGAAAGTGCAGCGCTGTGCAGTTGTAAGTAAAGAAGAGATTTCTTTCTAGAATACTACAGCAGGATAGAAAGTGGTGTAACACCGATGAGTCTTCTTAACTAATGGACAAAATGAATAGTAAGTCTGAATAGTAAGTGTATTTTCATAGTTTTTGGAAATCTTATGCTTTCTTACCAGACTATGACTCACAGCTTGGTTGTGAAAGCTTTACATTGGAATTAAAAAAAAGAATGTTAGGAAAATTTGAAAGTTTTGTGTGCCGGAGGCTAAAGATCAAATTCAAGCTAATGAAATGGAGAAATTGGAGCTATAGGCAGTGATTTAAAATTCATCATCGGCCAGGCGTGGTGACTCACAACTGTAATCGTAGCACTCTGGGAGGCTGAGGTGGGAGGATCGCTTGATCTCAGGAATTTGAGACCAGCCTGAGCAAGAGGGATACCCTGTCTCTACTAAAAATAGAAAAATTAGCCAGGCATCGTGGGGCATGCCTATAGTCCCAGCTACTTGGGAGGCTGAGGCAGGAGGATCACTTGAGTCCAGGTGTTTGAGGTTGCAATGAGCATAATGCAGTGCAATATGCCACTGCCTTCTACTCAGGGTGACAGAGTAAGACTCTGTCTGAAAAAAAAATAAAAAATAAAAAGAGATATCCAAATAGTAATTGGATAGATGAGCTCATTGTTTATATTCATTGAAATGGTAGTATGAGTCAGGGAGAATTACTGCATTTCTTTTCTTTTTCTTTTTTCTTTCTTTTTAAAACAGATCCTCAGGGAGTAGAATCTTTTTATTCTGTTCCCTATCCCTTCTTTCTGACACCACATGGTATTCCTCTTGACTTTATAAACTTTCCCCTGGCATTACTGAAATAATTGGGATCCCAGGAGAACCTCTTACCAGAATGTTTGGGTGAAAGGGAAATAAATGTTTTCTATGGCATTCACAAACTTTGCTGAAAAATATTTAAGAAACCTTAGAGAGTAAAAAGAGTACTAGGAAGACAATATCAAGTTCTAAGCTCATATTAATTGTGTTATCTCTATTTCCCTATTCATGTTGACACCAGAATCTCTTCTTTTTCACTAGAATTTTGAGGAATAGTGCATTAATGTGTGTGTAAATATAATCAGGAAAAAGTTGTTATGGAAGCAATATTGCATTGAGAGATAATTCATAATTTGGAGAATGTTGATTATCATTATTAGCTATAATTTTTAAATACATAAATTTTGAAACTTTATATAGCATTTAGAAGCTAACCTCTCAGATTAATACAGTTTAGTTAATATCATTAGCATGCTGAATCCTGTATTCCACAGAAGAGGAAGTGAACTAACATTGTTTTTTTTTTTTTTTTTTTTTGAGACAGAGTCTCACT